TTTTCTGTGAAAAGCAAAAGCAAAAGCAAAAAGCAAAAATGGCCACAACTATCTAATCCAACCCGCTCCCCACCTTTTGAGTATGATTTTGTGAGCTTTTCTTCTTTTTTTGGTGCTTCAGGTACTCCGTCAAGTCCCATCAGCGATTTTGTGTTTTCTGTGCGCAGCTATATACATGACAAAAAGACAAGGTGCTCGATTGCAAGGATGGCTGGCCCCTTTTTGAACATACCTTTCCTGCTCCAGCGCATAGCCTGACCTATCTACAACAACAAAAAGCAAAGTCCATCCAGTGAGAGCCCCGGCGGCCCAAGACTCCCACGGCCAACAAGACAGGATCAGTTATCAGGAATAGCCCTCCCGAAAACGTCAACCAGCCATGTCAGCCTCCTCCGCCATCATCCTTCTGGGAGGCATGGTGCCGACCACAAAGCTTATGGAAGACCTAATCAAAGGTCAAGCAATGGGTCATTCATCTCACCGCACCACATGCCTCCTGACAGCTCCAGGTAGTCGTAACCGAACTGGAGCTGCTTCACCAACCAGTCAACTCTATTGACATGGAGTGACTTCCCCTCGGCGCGGGTCGCCGGACAGTTGCACCGCTCCAGGCCACACCCGTCACAAACCCAACCCTTGTACAGGGTCTTTGGGAAGCAACGGGCGGGCGACTGGAAAGTCGGCCGCCGCAGCACAAACACCTTCTTCCCCAACTTCTCCTTCTTTCCGCGGTTGTACCACCGCGAAGAAGAAGAAGTCGGGGCAGCCGCCTTCGCCGCCGGAGCCTCCCCAGAGCGTCCAGGCCGGTGCTTCAGGATCGACGTGAGTTGATACTCACGACGATGGGTCCTGATGGGCTCCGGCCCAAAGCAACTCTGGTTCGGCTCCGCCGGACCTTGTCCGCGCAGCCCGCGCCCACCAACACCCCCAGCCCCACGAGAGCCCCCAGTCCCACGTTTGCCGACCCCCTTGTCCCTGGTCGACACGGCATGAGCACCAAGGGGCTCGTTGAATCGTACCTGCCCTGCGGCAGGCCGTCGCCCAACGAGCGAATCCTTGGCGCGAACCGGAAGCCGGGACGCGGAGGTTGTCTCCCCTGTGCCGGTGGGAGACGTGGCGGGCTTGCCCCCACCCTGCGCCATGTCCTCCCCATCAATGGATGGAGAGGAGCCCTTTCGGGACGCAACACCTTTAAGACCCACCCAGCGGGGGATCTTTGACCCGGCCGCCTTTGCTAGGGCCTTGACCGTAGTCTTGGCCTTCGCGGCGGCGCGGGAGAGACGAGACGAATCTCGCTCTTTTTTGGTGTTGTCGTCCCTACTCGGTGCTCCCTCACGATCCGGAACGACGGGGACGGAGGGTGGCAGGGTAGGGGCAAGTGGCACAGTGGTGACGTCCGACAACATGGGGGCATCCATGCTGCCGTCGGCACCAGAAGGAGAAGGGGACCGTCCTCGGAGGACGCTGTTGGTCAACCAAGGCCGAGGCCTGGTATCCCGCCGGCGCCTCCTCAGGTCACTGACGCTGGAGTCCGAAGACCCAGAGTCAAAGCTAGTATCTTGCGACGACATTGTCACAAGAATCCTGTTGGGCATGGGTTAGTTTCTGTGGGTCTCTGAAGCTGAAGCAGGGAAGTGTAATGAGAAGAGATGGCCGGAGAGTGGGAGATGCAAAGAGAGCCCAAAGCCTAAAGCTTTGGGCTTTGGGATTGAAGAGTGCTTGGGATTGAAGAGTGCTTGGGATTGAAGAGTGCTTGGGATTGAAGAGTGCTTGGGATTGAAGAGTGCTTGGGATTGA